CCCTCTTCAGTTTCCATTTCTTCTAGAGAGCCCAAGAAAAAGGGATAAGTTTCTGAGCAGGAAAACAAAAAAGCTGTTGCAAATACTACTGTATGGAAACATGTGTGACAGAAGACAATAACAGGGGAAATCTTCAATGCACACTTGATTTGACTGTAAGTGCTTTGGTCTCAAATTGTCACACTGTCTAGCAATCCCCCAAGACGTGGGGAAGGGGCTTTTATTGTTACAAAAAGCCTGAAGAGCACTACTGTCTCTTTCTATTTGCTGCCTTAACTGGACTAGTCCCTAGAAGAGAGGCCCTCGGGGGCTGCCTGCCACTCACCCTGTGTTTTATTGCTGCAAAGGGAGCTGCCAGCACTGTGAATCCTTCAAGAGGATACACAACAATTACCATGAATCTTTCACCCAAGGTGCCTTCCGAGTAATTAAACCTCGATTTATCCCCCCATTAATTACAGAGATTGGCTTTACTTAAATAGACACTTGAGATGCCTCCCCAGTCAGCCTGTTTCACCAACACTGCAGTCCAGGGTTAGAAAAAGGCTTGCTCTTTTTAATAGCAAATACACAGACTCTCAGTTGGAGAATTCCTGCCTCCTCTTTGTCACCTGCAGTTTCAGATGATGTCTATACTGCACTTGGAGGCTGCATCCAGGAAGAGCACACACCAACCGCTGAAGCTTCCTTAGCCTGATGAAGGGTTTCTGAACCCGAAAGCTTGCTTAATAACTATTCTCCAAACATTTGGGCTGGTCTAATAAAAGATATCAAATTCACCCAAGGAACCTTGTCTGCCTATGTCCTTAGACCAACATGGCTACAACCTAAACCCCTGCAGCACAGGCAGGCATCTCTAGGCTAGTTTTTATTTGGCTGGTTTGGGTATCAATAACAGAGCTGCCATGACAGCACGGAGTTCACTGCAGGCAGCTGCCTGAATACATACCAAGGGTACCAGTCTGGCTCGTGCAGCCTGAACTGAAGCCCAGGCTGAGCAGAGACTCTTCACTGCTCTTGTCACCCGAAGTAGCCAGCCTGGTCTGCCTGAAGTTGCTGCCATCCCACCTCCTGGCTTCGGGGCAGGCATACACGAGGAGACGTAATGACAAGCACCTGGGTCAGAAAAGGCCATAGCATATCTGTGATCTGTGCTAATGCAGGTCCAATTTGATCAGCCTGACCCTCCGGGGCTGCTTAAGAAGCACAAGAGTAGCCTGGGCCTCCCCTGCCACTCTACAATGCTTTGCCAGGGCATTGTGGGTGGAAGGAGGGTTTACTTAAGGCAGATGTATGGAGAAACACTCAGGTGAGTCCAGACAAATTAACTCAAGGCATGAAGTTGAAGTGTATTAAACCCCAGTGTGAACACTCTCCCGCGGAGGTCCAGCAGCCTTTGTTTGCATTAGCTTAAATCTTCAGAGATCTTTCGGGATTTAGCTAATGAAAGCATGCAGACAGAAGCTTAACACACTGCGATGCCACATCTTTTGTCTACACAAGAACAACCTGGAAATTAACTAGCCTGCAGGCTCCCTATTTAATCAATCCTAGATCACCCCCATCCCCACACTCCAACTCTGCTGCAGCAGAGGAATCTGCCGGGCCCCGGGAAATGTATTGTGCAAACTCATTCACTGAAGTGTTGCTATAAAAAGCAACTAGCAATCATTGCAGGAAGACAAGGCAAGTGGCATGCTTCAAAATCCTGTCCACACGAGCAAGAGGCTCTCCTGCTGACTGATGCATTGCACCTGCCGGTAGCTCGCAAAGGCCATGCATCTCCTGACCACCTGCTTTAACTTTCAGTCACATTCATCACTGTACAACCAGAGCTGGTCCTGGGATTGTTATTTTGCAGCTACAACCCTTCCCCATCATTTTGGTTGGTCCTGGCCCCCCTTGATTAATCGAGTAATCATCCTCTGAAATCAGAAGGTTAATTGGCCACTCTGACCTCAATATGCTCACCGTCTTCATTCAGCTATGCATTCCCAAGACAGAACGGTTAGAGAGAAAATCCCTACACATAAAAGTAAAAATTCACTGACCACATTTCAGTGGTGAGTAATATTTCACCACTGTCAGAGGTGACATTGGCTTTAATATATCTCAGATGTCCAACGGGGATAAAATTAAATTTTTTCTAATAAGCAAAGTCTAGCCTTGGAGAAGTAAATATGCCCCTTTTTCCAGCTGATCTGAAAAGCTGCCTTTCCTGACTTTTATAATCTCAGGAGGTAGAAGCGGTCCTAATTCATGAACTGGTTGAACAGCTCTGTACATAACTGGGGATTCTTGTTATTCACTGATGTAATAATGTACAGTGAGTGCCTCTATCGCTGTTTGTCCTTTAAACTTGGCTAACATAGTAGGCGTTCGACAAATAGAGTGTGTCCACTGGGCTGCAGTCCTGCAACCAACTCACATTATGGGAAAGGACTTCTGGGTCCAAAACCTTCTTATCAAGAATCTTGTCATGCTTCCCCCACTCCCACCCTTACCCACTGTCTCTTAGGCTAGGACAAAGGCAGCACTTGGCATAATGCATCTAGTCCCACGCCTGGGACTTGGCCTGGAAGGTACACGTTAAGATTTACAGGAAGGACAAGAGGCTTATAGCTCTAGTGAGCACTCATTTCCTCTGACCTAGCCTGTTGGATCCTACCCTCTGTGTTGTTCCTGTTATACATTCCAGGTCGCCTTGAACAGCAGGGCCCACTTAACAAGGATGCTTTGAGGACAAATATGTTACATTCGTGAACCGTTCTGGAGGTACCCAGGCACTACAGTAATGAATGCTATATAAATACCTAATATATCTCTCTACAGGGATATTAACTGATCTCCTTTCTAATATCTTCTGCCCCAAATAAAGGTGTTAACCTTGGAGACAACCCATCCTATGCTTTGTTCCTGAGACACGGTTGCACATATAACTGTCAGGCTTTGCCTACGTTATTGTAGGCAGGCCAGCCTACTTTAAAGTGCAATTAGCATGGGGTGGGGGGTGCAAAATTAATACATTTTAGGGGAAAAAGCTCAAGACATGGCTATGCAGAAGGTTTGACAAAGAAGTATCCTGTCTGGGGAGGATCGAGGTATATTAGCAGAGCAGGTTTTTCTCATTACACCATTAGTTCTGCCACCCACTCCAAATGCCACCTACAGAACAGCGAATGTCTGGATTCTCTAGTTCTTTCACAACATCCCAAGAATTACATTTAATTATATCTTTAAAAGACAGTGTTTGAAAACTCAGATCTCTGTTTGGCGCACGCTGTTTGACACTCCTGCTTCTGCACAAGATGGCCAGGAGGAGTTGCAGGCTGAATCTCAGGAACTCTGGGATGCAGGAGGTGCATACTGCAGATGCGTCCGATGTCCATGCGAGGGAACAACAGGCTTTCATGCACAGAGTTGTCCTACTGGGACAACAAGAAACTTTAAACTCAAGGGAGGATACCTGCTAGGTCTGAGCCTTGCTTGTTTCTTCAGTCAAAGTTAATAAATGTGGTGGTTTATTTTTGCTTAAGAAAAGGATAGGGAGCGAGAGGAGTAGAAAGCATGAGAATGAATTCTAACATCATACTACTAGGGACTGCTTTATACTTTGGGCAAGTCCTATAAAATCCAGACTGTGCCAAAAAGGATCATGGGAAAAATCCTCTGTGGAAAAAAAATCAATTTAAGAAATTCATATCTTCAACTTATTAACTTCCTCTTGTTAATACCTTGCCTTCAAACATCTTGTATTTTCAAACACTTGCATCAACTTTAATGAATAATTCACACTAGTTTGGATAAATAAATAAAATATGAAGTGGGCATCTTTCGTCTCTCGCATGGAAAATGTCACTGCTTTTTATTCCGTTGCTTTTATGTTCTTTAAGTTTAAAAAAAGTGTCACAGGTTCAACTTGGAAATATCTTGGCTCAGGTTCAGCATCTGAATGAGTGTTTAGTTAGGTCAGTCAACTAGATCTCTGGTCTCCTAAGTAAAGAAAACCAAGCTATACTATGTCTTACCCCACAATTGGCCTGTGGAGCCTCTTTATTCAGTCTGCCGGACCAAAAGAGTTTGGGGTTGTGGCCTGCCATAGAAGTCGGGCCCTTTGGCTCTTCTGCCTGTGGCCATCAGCGGTGAACTTAGCTTGCCACCATTACCCCTGGATCATCACTGTGCACCTAGGCCCTTGCTGCAGTGGCCATGGCAGCCACCCCCATGCCCTGGGCTGGATTGGGCGCACAAAAAGCCCTGTGGTCCAAATCCAGCCCAGGGCCCTGGATGAATCTGACACCCCTCTTGTATCCGACAAGGAGTCATGAAACAAGGGTGCTATGAATAAGATAAAAATAGCATTGGACTTAGCTAGCTGGCTTACAGCGTGGACATCTGAACCATTTACTCTGGAGGAAAACAGGGTGGGCGTTACTGTATGTTAGTTGCTCCACAGTAACTGCCTGTGTGTAGTAGTTTCTTACTCTCTTTCACTGAGAACTAAACTACCAGAACTTAGCATCTGCTTATCGCTGGGGAAAAGCATGCATTTGGACAGGCACCAGAGTGGCTGTCATATGATATTGTAAATAGCTAGTACGTCCATATCCTTTGGCTTTGCTGTAGAGCTGCCT